AACCATCAACGTATCCGATTTTATTTTTGAAAAATAATGTGTTGGTCATCTCGTTGATCCAATCGCTATAGTTGTCATCGTTTAGCAGATTATCGCCAACGAAGTTGAGCCCCAAGTGATATGTATATGCTGATGTGAGGAAATAGGGCGACGACATGTTGATGACCTTTTCTCCGGTTGGTGGCGAAGGGTTCCTGCCGCTTCCTGTCATAATGTATTAATTTTGATTTTCCAAAGAGCGTTGCTATGACACCTTAATAATTTTAATACTTTAAATTGATTTATTGCTTGATGATTAAACAAGTGATTACATGCTCCTATTTATAGGAGAAAAACAAAACTTAAACTAGGAAACTTATCTAGCTAGGAAACTTAAAAAACTTAGGCTGCAACTTAAAAAAACTTAGGGGTGTTTGACACGGAGTATTTGTGAGCATTTAGGAGCTTCTAACTTATAGCTTTTGACAAAACGTTCTAGTTTAAACAAAAAGTTTCGTTTGGCAGTATGAGCGTTTAACTTTTAGTTTAAATAAAATGCTTCAAATCTAAAAGCTATTTCATGTAGCATTTAACAAAACGTTACTAAGCTTTTAAAATCAATTTCCAGAATTGCCTTTAAAAATACATTTATATATTTATTTTTTTAAACAATTGTCATTTTATTTAATTTTACATATTTCAAAAGTTTTCAGTTACTTTTGTCAAACGTTCATATAATAAATAAAAGTTACAACTTTTAACTACCGGCTATCCGCTACCAACTAATAGCTAGTTTTGTCAAAGACACCCTTAGGCTCCAAGACAAAATAAATAAGAAAAATAAATAGAAGGTAGAATCCTATACGAATTCTAGCATCATAAAGAATAGTTTTGTTCAACTTTTACTTTTCTAGAAAGCTAAATATACAAATGAAAACCAAAAACGATGTAATACGACTTTAACTCAAAGCCATCACAGACAGTGACGAGGTCACGAGAAAAAACAATATACAAAAAGTCAAATAAAGGAACAGAATAAATCTTAAAGCAACGACTCCACTAGCAATTAAATAATTCATTCCAATATCTTATTGACATAAAAAAGACCTTCAACTCCATTGACTTTTGCGTTCCAATAGGCCTCTTAATATTCTTCTCTGATTTTTCTTTGATAATAATAATAATAATAATAATAATAATAATAATAATATAGCACGATATTTAATTACTTATACAAAATAAAAGGTTGTTTGATGTCTTCTATTGAATATGATAAAGGAATGAGTCTCAATTTAAAATCTTGCATGTTACACTCTCTTAGAGTTTATTCAATCAAATCCGACTTAATTAATAACTATCAAATAAAAAGTATTTTTTTTCACATATTGTTTTACAACTATGTTAATTAAATATCAGAATTATTATAAATAAGATATTGATTGAATTAAATAAAAGATAGAATAATAAGTTGTATTTTATCTATGTTTTGGGGGAATAAACTAAAGTAAAGAGAGACAAAAATCAGTCCGAATAAAATCGCTTTTAGATCTGAAGCTTCTTCTGTTTTTACATTTTACGTCCTTCAACTTTTCTAATGTACAAATTAGACCTCGACTAAAGTAAGAATAAAAAAAGTCGTTTTCTTCCCTACTAACTACACTGTTTGTTGACCGTAGAAAATTGTGCAAAGTGGTGGTGGACCGCATGTGTCGCCTTCATTTTGACTGAACCACCAGACCGGTCAGACTTGTCGGTACCGGCGTTGGTGCGTGATGGTGACGGTGCTCTCCGTCGTATGTTACCAGAAGCATCTTTGAATCGTCCAACGCTAACTCCACGCGCTTCCTCGCCGGACATCCTTTTCCGGTATTGCACTTGTAATATACTCTGCACATTTGAAATCGGAATCGGAATTAATATCAAATCCCTTTGAAGATCAGAAGCTTTAATTATTTAGTAAATTTTGGTATTCGGTTTCGATTTGTCATTCAATTGAAGAAATCTGTAATAAATTAGTAAATTACCTTGGATAATTTGATCCGTCGATTTTCTTCTCGCCGTATTTCTTCCATGAATAATCGTCGGCCGGTATACTTGTGACCTTAGATCCGATGATCGGTACTCTCCTTATTTCACGTTTTGATCCGATTTTCCTGAGAACGGAAGAGAATAAACATATTAATTTATGAATTATGAGGCGTACGATAGACATATACGATAGATTTTTGCTAAAACGTATACACATACCTTCTCTTGCAACAATGGCAACCGCTTGAACGATTTTCCCTTCCAGATCTGTGTAACGAAACAGCAGGATTGTCGGCGCTACACCTCTTCCGGTGAGTAGACGGAAGCGGAGGCTTCCTCGAAGAAAACGTCAACGACGGAGCTACTATACCTAACGAAGAAAATCGTTTACCATTTGAAACACTTTCTTCTTCTAATCCTCCTCCAGCTAAAGAAGACACCATAGACGACGAGCTCATTGACCTAGAAGACGTAACCGCTTCCGCCTCGCTGTCGCTCACAGATTTGTTTAAAAAACACGCCTTGGACGCCGTCAACGGCGCATCCTGTTGTTTCTCCCCTGATTGCGAAGAAGTAGAAGTCCCTTGACTGTCGGTGGAAGAAGACGACGACGGTCCGCGGCGGAATCGAGCGTGACCGGTGCGTTTTAAGCCAGATACCGATTGCTTGTAATTAGAGGAAACGTTAAAATCATGACTCGTTAACTGAAACATCCGATTGAGATTATCAACAGTTTGAACTCCTACGCAATCGACTGCCATTGTTGTAGAAGAAAAGCTTCCTTCTTTCCAAAGCTGAGAGAGATTGAGGATGGAAAAGAGGGTGGAGGTTGGATTATAAAGGGGCAATTGGGAAAGTGGAGTCAAAGGAGATGAGATGTTGATCGGACGGTGGAGAATGCTTTGACTTTTTTTAGGTGTGTAATAAATAGAAGCAGAACGCTAGTGGAGGGAAATTGGGCAGAAAGTCAAACGAGGACTGAATAATTTCAGAATAAAGGGAAAAGGAGAAAATATATTTAAATTAAATGGAGCAAATGCGTACGCAGCTGTAAACCATGCGTTTCGTAATGTCAAAGGAAAAGAATAATAATAATGTCAAAGCATAAACAAAGAAACATGAGTAAGTTATCTATATTCTGTCGATTTGATTTTTTTTCCTTCAAAATTAATGTTGAATGTTGTAATTACTTAAGGAATATATTAAAATTTTTATTTTTGTAATAAGTTAGTGTATATTTATCCTTTATATCAAAAAAAATTATATAAAAATACTAAGTTTATGTAAAAAAATTATTGTTGCAATTGGGTGCACCTTAATATAAAAAAAAATTACACTACGATGAAAAATCGAGTGCTGGCCCGGGACCCCTTGAGAGTCACCTAAATCCGCCCCTGGTTTCATTAATAAGCACATCACCCCTTCTAAATCCCGGTATATATTGACGGATGCCTTTTTTTTAGTAAAATTGTTCAAGACATGATTGTTAGACAGAAAACAGTTTTTTATGATTATTTATATTGATGTGTTTGACCAACATATGTCACCAATGGAGTATCGTACTAGCCCCAAGTATCTCTTTATGATTCCTCTATTTCTAGTTAACAATATATGTTATCTTTGTCGCAAGGCATGCTTGAACTCTTTTGGGGAGCATGCAATCCATTGTAGAGAGCTCTCGGGTTTCAAGTACTGACACAATTTGGTTAAGGAAGTTATTTTTGATATTTTTCGGCGTGCCAGAGTTTCTATCAAGAAAGAGGTATTTGTGAACTTTTTGACTGACCCGTTAGAAGGTAAACCAACACTTAGACCACCCAATGATTTGGTTTTTGGATGGGTCATAGGAAAACACGCTTGTGTGGATTCAACATGGGTTTCCCTCTCGTGTGCTTAGGGAGTGAAATTTTCACTATGAGTCAGAGTGCTTTAAAAGTTGTCTCATGCAAAGTGATAGAATATGAGAAAGCGTGTATGAAAAATCAACACACGGTTATACCTTCACATTTGATACTTTTGTTTTCCTTACTCCAGATGTTGTGTAGTGACCCATAGATTTAAGGATGTGGTTTTTAAAAGAATTAGGTTTGTTATTCATAGATCTATATTATTTTAATTTAATAATTGTTATTACGGCTAACTCCAGGTGCATGTTTAGCTCTACCACTGAAGGATCTTGGTCTAATAAGCATCCGTGAATCTGCTCTGCACAAGATAGACAAATGTTAGGTCAGACAGCCATACCGAGGGTTGGACCCCGGTATTGCTCTCCGATGCCTAAGTTAGATTGCGAATAAAATGCTACGATGTTGTGCGTGAAGGTTATTACTCTCCCTTTTTCCCATACTTGGTTATCGTGTTTCTGATGTATTTATAGGTTATTCATGGTTCCACAGGTTTAAAGTTTTGTTTGTTTCTTTTTCCATTGCCCAGTTTGTTAGCAGTCTCGCCTTCTGTCATTTTATTATTTTATTGCTATGTACCTTCTCTTTTGTGGGTTTCCTGGGATATGGTTCTGAGATTCGTGCATGGTTACTTGAGCTTAGATTCGTTCGTGATAGGATGTAGTTTCTTCATGCTCGGCCTTGTAAGTACCGGGCCGGTTTTAGGTTCTCTCGATTTACCGATCTGGGTACACCATTAAGCCCCCCCCCCCCCCATCTGAAGGGTAAAAGAATATTGATAAAATATTTTTGTCGTTCAGTCTTGAAGATCTGCCTTGGGTACTGGAACGTCCTTCGCATGGGGCGCATTAAATGCTTGCACCATCGGACATCATTTCTTCCGCGTCAAATGGATTGCCCTTAATAAAAGATTTAACTGGTTTTTCCTGTTATTTAATGGATAAACTTGGTTTGTTGGAAGCTTTTATATCTTTATTCCTTTTTTACTCTCACATCATGGCTACCATGGGTAGTGACATTTCCACAGTTGTTTCAGAAGTGGATAACCAGATGCTTGATCGATATATATAAGAATATCATTTGTCACCCATGCTTGGTTTTCAACTTCCATCTCCATCATCCTCTGTTATTGATCCCCCATGTAGTAAGGTTGGGCTTTACCTTAGGCATATTGTTTATGGTTTAAGGTTGCATCCGTCTTCCTTCTTCTTGGAGGTACTTTGTTTTTATAAAGTTCATCTTGTGAAACTATGCCCTAATGTTGTGTCGAAAGTGCTTACTTTCAAGGTCTTCTGTGTAGCCCATGAAATACCACTTGATGTCGCTCTGTTTCACTATTTTTATCGTCTGAAAAGGTATGGGGACAGGTACTCCTTTAGTAGTCGTCATTTCCCTCTTTCTCCTTACTTAACCCGCGTCACTGGTAATTGGAAGAGTAGATTATGTTGGGTAGATGTTCATAGCTTATGCCTTCCTTTTGCTCCTTGTCATGTTTCCCTTGGTGATGACCCGATGTTCTTATCTGACGATATATCCTCTTATGTACCCTTGTTTTCTCATTTTGTGTAAAGAGATTGTATTTGCCAGAAGTTGTACTTGCCTTGCGTCGCATGAGTCCTTTTTGGAAAGCTCAATGTCAACTATCAGTCTTATCTGCTCGTCATGCAGGTTTGTCTAACTATATGTGGATCTTAATAGTTTAGGTATAGTTTCTTTTTCCCTTTGTTCCATCCAATGTCCTGATATAAATGTTGTTTTTTTTTGTTTGCACGTTTCTTATTTGTTCATTTAATGTGGTAGACGGGAGTAAATGCCCTTTTCAATTGACATCATATTTGCCCGGTGAATTTCCTCCTGAAGCTATTATGTTAGACGATGTTATTCCGGACCCGGATGTGGAACTGGTGATTGTAATTCCTGATTCTCCTAGTAGAATTTTCGGGGTTTGGTTCAGATGATTTTTCTGTTGATCAGCTTTTCGGAACTTCTTGTCCTTCTGTTGCTCCTTCAGGCGTTGGTTCCTCACGTTATAAGGAAGGTGTGCCCACAGATGCTCATTGCGCTAGCCGATAACGTAAATGCCTTTTGACACCTGTCTAATTTGAACATTTTCTGCATGAGGTTTCCCAAGGTCCTCGTTATGTATCTTCTTTGCCTTCAGAGTGTGTTGTTCCCAAGCCAGTCGGTATATAGACACTTTTGGCTTTTGTTACAGTTGTATACACGTATATCTTTGTTCTTATTGTTGTTATGATTACTTTGCATAATCGGTATTATATTTCGGATATGTGCAGATGGCTGTCCTTCCCGCTTTCAGTTTGAAGAGGATTTAGACGAGGCATGTCGTCTTATAGCTCGTGATGAGAATATTATATCGTACTTGGGCGAGATCTTAAGTTCTTTGATGGGTTATTGGCCCTATGGGATCAGTTTCTAGTTGGTGAAGTTAATATACGGGTTGTCGAAGGTATGAAGCTAGCTAGTGAAAAGATGTTGTTGAAGGTTGGGGAAATGTATGTTGATCTGTCCATTTGGTATCAGGATACTATGGCTAGGATGGCCGTTTTAAATGAGCAAAAGGCTTTTGTTGAATCTGACTATGAGGCATGCCTTTGGGAGAATAACATGCTTTGCGCTCAACTTGCCTTGAAATATTGATGGTGTTGTTTGATGTAGGTCGGTTATGCTATTTTGTTGATTTTCGGCAAGCGACAATTCTTTTGTATTGCTTGCATGTCTAACTGATCTCTTCCTGTAACTGGCGTTTATTTTTGTTCTTTTTGAACGGTTGTTCTCCTTTTAGTTTGTTTGTATAAGTCTTAATGTGCCTAAGATATCAACATGGATGGTCAGTGGGTGCCTGTTGGTGGCACTGTCTGATTTTGAAATGGATTCACTGGTAAATAAAGTTTGTGCTTGTACTGGATTTTCCAGGTTACATGTTTTTCGTGTTGTCGGTGTATCCTGTAATTAAAGATTTTGTTCAATGATTTGTTTATGGATGTCATGGGCTATCTAAGTTATATGTTTTAAGAGTAAATGTATTCTTTGGCTAGGAAAGTAGTCTATATCGGGGTTTTGAAGTTTGGCGTTTAGAATGATGTAGTCGCCTGACCGAGCTACATTAACTAGAAAGAATGAAGATGTTCTTGGGCTAAGCAAGTAGCCTAGGTCGAAGATTTAAACTTCGAACTTTGGAAAGATGTATTCGACTGACCGAGCTACATATTTAGAAAGAATAAAGATATTATTGGGCTAAGCAGGTAGCATAGGTCGAAGTTTTAAACTTCGACATTTGGAAAGATGTATTCGGCTGACCGAGCTACATTATTTGAAAAGAATAAAGATATTCTTGGGCTAAGCAAGTATCCTAGGTTGGAGTTTTGAACTTCGACCTTTGGAAAGATGTAGTCGGCTGACCAAGCTACATTATTTAAAAAGAATAAAGATATTCTTGCACTAAGCAGGTAGCCTAGGTTGGAGCTTTGAACTTAGACCTTTGGAAAGATGTAGTCGGTTGACCGAGCTACATTATCTAAAAAAAGTAAAGATATTCTTGGGCTAAGTAGGTAGCCTAGGTCGGAGTTTTTAACTTTGACCTTTGGAAATATGTAGTCGGCTGACCGAACTACATTATTTTAAAAAGAATAAAGATATTATTGGGCTAAACAGGTAGCCTAGGTCAGAGTTTTGAACTTTGACTTTTGAAAAGATGTAGTCAGCTGACCGAGCTACATTATTTAAAAAGAATAAAGATATTCTTGGGCTAAGCAGATAGCCTAGGTCAAAGTTTTGAACTTCGACCCTGGAAAGATGTAGTTGGATCACCGAGCTACATTATTTAAAAAGAATAAAGATATTATTAGGCTAAGTAGGTAGCCTAGGTCGAAGTTTTGAACTTCGACCTTTGGGGAGACGTAGTCGGCTGACCGAGTTACATTATTTAAAAAGAATAAAGATATTCTTGGGCTAAGAATGTAGCCTAGGTATTTTCCATATACAAGATAGATGCATCAGTTTTTTCTTTTCATTCGTAATGATAACTGCTTTATTTCCTTGGTTCGCGTATCACTCGACATGCATTCCTTTTCTTGCCTAGATATGGAATTTTTGTAGGTTCTTCGCATGTCATGGTCTCGGAACTAACTCGCCTTCCATCGTTTGTTGGATATATGACCCATCTCTATTCGCCTCCTGGATTATGTATGGACCTTCCCATATTGGTCTTAATTTTCTGTGCGGCTCTTATCTGCTAGCTTCATTATTCCTTAGTACCTCCTCACCAATCTTGAAACACCTGCCCTTAACCTGTTGGTTGTAGTAGCTCTCTTTCTGTTTCTTATAATGCTCATGTCGTATTGCCGCTACTTCTCTGCGTTCCATGGAGACATCTAAGTTTTCTCTCAAATATTAATTGTTGGTCTCAGTGTCCCTGTTTGGTGTTTGGTTTATGAGGACAATTAACTCCAATGGTAGTACTGCTTCTGACCCATACACTAGGCTATAAAGCATTTCCTTTGTCGTCGTACGTGCTGTCGTCCGGTATGCCCATAACACACTTTGTAACTCGTCGACCCATCGCTCATTAGGTTCATCTAGTCTTGTTGCTATCCCATGCACGAGTGTTCTGTTGGTGACCTCGGTCTGTCCGTTTTCCTCTGGGTGTGCTACGAAAGTGAATTTTTGGTTGATTCTGAGTCCTTCGCACCATTCCCGGAAAGGATTATTGGCAAATTGTGTTCCGTTATCCGAAATTAGTGTATGTGGTATCCTAAAGCGGCGAATTATTTGTTTCCAAAAGAATTTGATGATGTTTTGACCTGTTATCGTTGCTAATGGTTCTGCCTCTACCCATTTGGTGAAGTAGTCTATTGCGACCACAAGGAATTTTACTTTCTCGGGTGCTTCCAGGAAAGGCCCTACTACGTCTATACCTCACTGGATGAATGGCCATGGGCTACTGATGCTAACCATCGGTGTTGCTGATTTTCTTGGAATTGGTGCATGTTTATGGCATTTCTGGCATTTGTAGATTATACTTTCCGTGTGTTGATACATAGTTGGCCAATAGTAGGCTATTCTTGCTATTTTTTTGCAATATGGTTTTCGGCCCTTCATGTGCTCCAGCGACTCCTTCATGCATTTCCCTTATGAGGTATTCCGCTTCCTTACCATCCATGCACCGTAAACGAGGTGTTAAGTACCCTTTTTTTATATAGCACTCCCTTTTCTATTACAAAGGATGGTGCTTTAACCTGTAACTTCTTGGCCTGCTTTTTGTCCTTGGGTAACTTTCCTTCTATTAGGGATTCAATTATTCGTTTCCTCTAATCGCTCATGTCTCCCACCACTATCGTTACTGGTGTAACATCCCATTTTTCAAGTAGCTTCATATTCATCCCTCGGATTTGAATTATGTCACTTTTGGCCCTTGGTTGGAAGGAAGTGGCAAGAAAGGACCATGCTTGCAAAGGTGGCAACTGGGTGTGTAAGCCCAGCGTAAGCTGGGGTATGCCCAGCGTAGGAGGTTAAATGGTCACGTGTGTTGGAAGACGTACGCCCAGCATACGAGATGTACGCCCAACGTACGCTCAGTGGCTCAAATCCCTAATTTTAGGGTCAAGCACTATATAAAGAACATGAGGACTAGAACCCTAGCCCCCTTATCAGCCTCCCCAACCTCAGAAAAACCCTAGAACGTCTCATCCCTTCATTCTTATGTGATTTTAACCTTAAGAAGCCCATTTTGGTGATTTTAAGCTTGGAAAGGGAAAAGAAGAAGTTGGCAAGGAAGAACTTGGGAAGTTGGAGCTCATAGATCTGGGATAGCATCATCATCTGGAACTCCTTGGAGCTTTGGGAGTCGAGAGATCAGTTGTTCGGGATATTGGTGAGGCAGCGATTCAGGAGTTCGATTCTTCGGTTCAGATCGGCAGTGCGAGGTGAGTTATCCTCATTATATCAACAAGGTCTAAGGCACCAAGGCTGACCCTTTATGGATTGTATCCGGTTATGGAATGATATGTTTATTGGTTTGCATCATGGTAGTTAGGATGAGGTTATGTTTATGGTTAGTGACCTGGTTAGGTCGGTGTCCTGGTTATAGGATGGTATTATGTTATATGCTGTTATGATTTGTTAGATCGGTATCCTGATAGATAGGATGATATATGCTGTTATGAACCGTTAGATCAGTACCCTGGCAGACAGGATGTTATATGTCGCTATGATCTGTTAGATCAGTATCCTGGTAGATAGGATGGTGTTATGCTGTTATGATCTGTTAGATCGGTTTGTCTTTCTGTAGATTGTTATCTGTTATATGTGCACATGTTTGTTTGGTGGTTGAGGCTTATCTGCTTTGTGAGAAAGCCAATAGACCTGGGCATTCCAACCTGTTGGTTGTGGGCCGTGAGTATTCCATCCCGAGGATGATTGGACTCAGAGTATGTGGGCATTCCAGCCTGTTGGTTGTGGGCCTGGGGTATTCCATCCCGAGGATGATTGGACCCATAGTATGTTGGCATTCCAACCGGTTGGTTGAGGGCCTGGAGTATTCCAACCTGATGGTTGACTGGGCCCATAGTATGCTGTTTATGATCATATGTGTATTGTAGTGGGTATGGGTATTTTGGGGTAACTCACTAAGCTTTCGGGCTTACAGTTTCAGTTTATTGTTTCAGGTTCAGCAGATGGCCGCGGGAAGGCAAAGGCGTGACCATACACTTCCTCGATTTATGATTATGATTTCTGGGAACTCAGATGTTTAAACTATTTTGAAAACAAACTGTAATAACTGAATGGTTTTATATGATTTAAAAAGTTTTAAATTGGCTCGAATTTTATGGATGTTACAAGTTGGTATCAGAGCCTTGGTTTGAGTGAATTGGAGGAACACTCGTGTGAATCCAGTCTCAAACTAAGGAAAATGTTTTCAAAATAATTTTCAAATGGTTTTCAAAATAATAAAGGAGGATGCAAGTGTACGATCAGCCATAGCCAGTAAGTAGACCCCAAAATACCATACAAGTTATTTGATATTATGTGATATGTTAGAACAACATGCTAGTACTAAGATAGGGATCCTTAGGAATCGTATGATAGAATTGCCTGATCTTTGATGCCTTATCTTATGTAGAGCACCTCATTGATTGTTGTATGAATCTTTCGTGTGTGAATTAACTAATAGGTGAATACTCCAAGTCACATGCTACATGGGTTAAATGATCTTAGGGTAAGGGATTTGGTCCTGCTGCGCAGCTCTTGTCTGAGTCCAACCGTTGTGGGATTAAATCTTTTAGTCTACGATTGTTTAATCCGTGCGGTATGTGATTGTATTCATGCAATAGTTAACTGGCACCAATGGAGGGTCGCGTGGTAGTTGGTGGATGGATGGGTAGTGAGAGGCCAGGAGGCCAGTTATGAGATATTTAGCAT